GATTGGGTCTTTAAATTTGGGAGGTCTGATCTTTTTAAGTTCTTTATAGATTGGAGATAGTAGACCTTTGTCTGAGGAAGAGCAGGTGAAGATTTTTTCCCTCGTTGTGGGTTGTCTCTTCACACTGCTGGTGGGAAAACCCCTCTACTTAAACTTGGTTTTGTCTACAGTTTAAGATAAGCAGATGGGCACCCTGCCCAGGAACGGAAAAGAGGGCCAATTAAAAGGCGTCAGGCACTGATCAGCCTTCTCAGTTTCCTAGCTAGTTTCTTTCCAGAGAGCCCCTGGCAACAAGAACGTACCGATTCATGAAGCGTCCTTGGGCTGCAGTCCTTCCACTCCTTCCTGCTGAGCACATGGCAGCTGGTCTCTAGCACATCCAGTGTGAGGTAGAAGAGAGATCCCTGGCTATCCTGTGGGAAGGGTGAAGGCACACACCACGTTCCACTCAACACGGAAACCCACGCCGACTGGACAAAACCATCTCTGCCTTAAGAAAGCTAAAGAATACAATGCATGTGACGATGCCTTATAAACTTCTTGGACAGGTATCCCAGTAGGATCTGTTTCCAGGAACAAGAGCATTGCAGTGCGCCTACCAGCAGAGGGTGGAGTGCTCTCAGCAGGGTTTCCCATTTGGAAAGCACCTGCTCAACAGGCATCTCAGGGTTCCTACCCTTTGCCCAGTCTTTGCAGCCTGTCCTGGAGGGGGAACCATCACTTACCTGTCTGTGTTCCCAGACATCATGCACTCGGTTGAGCTCTAGCACATAGCCATCCTTCTGGTCTCTGTTGATGCTCTGCAGGGCCAAGCCTGAGACCGCCAGCACATCTGAATCATGGCAGCCCCGGGAAAGCAGAGGCAGGGAGCTGAGAGCCTGCTGGGGTGGAGATTCAGCCCTACAGCAAGCGGCCTGGGCCAGGACGCAGAGTACCAGGGACCAGAGCAGACCCATTCTGTAGGAGTAGGGCCACGGTAGGTCAGTATGTGGAGCTGCAGGAACGGGCTGTGTTGTGGGGCTCTGTAATAGAGAGGAGCACTTTTACAATTACAACCCAAATGGCTGACCAGGATTTAGAACACTATGTCCTAACTGAGCACTGTGATTTCCAAATGCAGATTTCCCTGCTTTGGATAGGACCTGCCAGTATTGTACTTTAGACTCCTGCGCAACCCCATGTTCCTGTGTGCACGTTAAACAAATTAAAGTTCCCTAAACTTTTTTCCTAAGAAATCACAGCAAACATTTACTCGAGGCTATTAAGCAGCTATGACTAGATTCTGGCTGGCACCCAGGTCTCGGTCCGAGCAGAATACGGAAGGCTGTCACCCCCTTCCCTCTTCCTTGCCGCTGGTCTCCACATCCACACTCACAGTTACCCAAGTCAGGAGCAGGGGGTGAGGGATCCCAGAGGGGCTCAGTGAGTTCAGACTTCTCAGCCAACCTCCTGTGTTCACCACCCTTGTTAGATCAGAAAGGTGGCTTCACCCCTCAGGCATTGCCCGAAGCACAGGTGGCATTCACCGTGTACTTTGGGCTTCTGGCCGGAAAGTGTTCTATTTAGCCTCATTTAGGATATTTTAAGCCAAAGACAGTATTTACAGGGGAAAAAAGGTAATGAGATATCAAAAGTTCCCATAGCATACTTCAGGTCTGTTTTGCCTCCTGTGGATCTGTATGAAAGTGGATTCATTGACAGCTAAAACCTTATACCATTGTTAAGAGAAAGATAATGATGGTCAGGTGGGCTGATTGGGATCTTGCTTTTTTCTCAGCTTCTGTTTGGGGCTCAGGAAGGTAATCTTGATAGCTGCCCGTAATTCAACAAACACTGAGCAACTCCACAATGGCAGGAACTGAGTTAGGCTCTCAGGAATCAAGGGTTGATAAGACGGATACAGTTAGCATTTGTTTCCAACCCGTGTGTTGGAAACTTAATCTCCAGTGCAACAGTGTAGAGGGTGGACCTTCCAGGGAGGATGAGGTCATGAGGGGTGTGCCTTCATGAGTGGATCAGCATCACTGTCGCCAGAGTGGACTTGTTACAAGGGCAAGTTTGGTCCACTCTGGCTCTCTTGCAGCCTCCTACCTCTTCCGTAGGATGACAGCAAGAAGGAAGGCCCTCACCAGATAGAAGCCCTTCCACCTGGGACTTCCTAGCCTCCAGAACTGTGGAAAATGAATCTCTGTGCTTCCCTAATTGCAAATGCTCCATTACAGCAGCACCACACAGGCCAGTATGAATGATATTCATTAGATATAGACCTAACTAATTTCTGGAAGTAAATAATTACTTATTTGGTACCAGGGATCACACTCAGGTCCTTGCGCTTGCGCAGCAGGCGGCAAAACCACTGAGGTAAATCCCTGGCCTAAATAATTACTTTTTGAGTATTGATTTACAACCCTAAATCTAAAGATCTCAGTTCTTTCGAGGGCAGCCTGTAGGCACTGCTTTCAAATGGGAACAAGATGAGGAAAACGGAAACTGAAAATAGAAATTGTTAAAAAATAAACCACTTCAGATTGGGAAGCCATTAGCCTGGGCTCTGGTACTTTAAATTCCTACTGGAATAAGTCAAACCTCAATGAAAACAATGCATCAGAACTAGAAACTTCACCCTCAGAATTCGCTAAATCACCTCTGGCTAGGAATTTTCCACTCTGACCAATCCCAATTATTGTTTTGTCTTGCTTCTGTGGATACTTTATAGAAGTTTCTCTTCTCACCATTCCTGGAGAAGTGTCAGCGCTTTGTGGCCTGGTGATTCATGAATTGCTGAATGCTCCAATAAACCCTTTTAAATTTAAATCTGCCTTAGTTTTTCTTTTTTCGGTATGAAAACTAGATATTCAAATTCTGGGGAACTACAAAGATTTAGCTCCAGCCAGCAAGTGAACCAACCTTTACTAAGCCTCTCCCTGCAGGTGAGTCTGGGGTCTGAGGAAATGCAGGAGATCCACAGAGGCAAAGGCCACTAGAGAATGACAGTCAGGACCCGAAGACCAGATTAAAAAGAGACTAAGTGTTGACCAGATGGCAGAGTAAACTTTGATTTCCCAGTTCAGCTCCTACTTGTATGAGCCAGGAGGCCCTTTGGGAGTCCAGCTTCCTCACCACTGGTAAGTAGCCTTTTGAGCCACACGATCCCTAAGAGCACTTTCAACTCTAAAGTGAAGGTGCTCTTGCCTTTCTCTGCACCTGCCATCATCCTGTTTCTGGGAGCTACTACTCCTCAGATCCATTGAGATGGACCTTGTCCACCACCAGCCAGGGGGCTGAGTTCTAGTCTAGTCTTAAACTGAGATCAGTCTCCTTCTGGCTTGTACGGTTTGGGGACTCCGAAGTGGCTGCAGGGGGAAGAGGCCAATCTTTAGGGTCAGAAAGTTCTGGGTTTAAATTCCACCCTGACACTGCATGGTAGATGGCCCGAGACATGGCAGGCTCCTAGCCTATTAAATTTCCTTATACATAAAACAGTGGTTCTCCCGGCATTGTACACCTCTTCATAGGAAGAGGGCCACACATTTTCTCTTTCCACAGAAGCTCAGGGACACAACTGCTTGGCTCCCATCATATCTGGGGACAATTTTTTTTTTTGGTACCAGGGATAGAACTCTGGACCTTCCGCTTGCAAGGCAGGTGGTGGAACCACTGAGCTAAATCCCCGGCAACTGGGGACAATTTTAGCATCAGCAGAGAAGTACAGTTTCAGTAGAGGAGTAAAGAGCAAGCCTTTGAAGACATAGCAACTTGCATTTGAAGCCTAGCTCTCTTTTTAAGGGTAATTGTCAAACTCAGCACCATCCAGTAGATGCACAGTGCAAATCACATATTCTAAATTTTCTCATTAAACTATGCAAAGAAAAAAAAAGTTAAAGGAAACAGAGCTAACCTCAACAATATTTCCGTTAGCCCAATCTATCCAAAGTACTGTTCTAATATGTGGTTAATATAAAAAATTGTGACTGTGACTGTGTATATTCTTTGTTTCATACCACAGCCCGCCTCAATTTGGATTAGCCACGTTTAAGGTGTTCAAGAGTCTGATGCGGCCGCCCTGTACAAAAGCACAGTCACAGGAGGAGCCATCTCCCAAGGTGGCAGTGAGGACCGGCCACTGGGGACGAGCACAGCCCTGGACCCAGGACATCCAGGAACGATACCCACTGCCGGTGTCGCGACTGTCCCCGTGGTCTTTGCCTTTTCTCACACAGCACAGATTCCCATGTGACTCTGGCTGTCGCCTCTTCCCAGTCCAGGGATAGGAAAGGGATCATGACCCCAGCTGAGCCAGATTCCCAGAAATGGTCCACTTTCCTTGAGTGAGGAGGAGGCCTTGTGCAAGACTCGGGGCAGTGGCTTAGGATTGATAGTTTTATAACAGAGAGGTGAGACAGGTGCGGCTTTGCTTGCTGCAGAGCCAGGAGATGCACAGCACATGCAGAGGATCGGGTCTCAGAGGAATGAGAGGCACCAGGACTCGACCTGAGCGGGCAGGGCGTGTAGCTGGGAAAACTACGAAGGACTCAGGCAGGGACAGCCCTGATTACAGAAGGTCTCTGTGGCTGCTGTTTTTCTTCTCTGCCTTTTCTCCCTTTATTTTTCCTCCTTCCACAAACATTGACTAGGCATCTACTCCACACAGTGGCAAGCCCCAGCATGCTATGTAAGTCACACAGTGGAATTTTCAGTATGTGCTTGGCCCTTTGCTAGACACTTTGTGTTCCTTCTCTCATTTAAACCCCTGACCGACCAACCCATTCCCACTGCACGGGTGAGAAAAGCTAGCCTGCCCAGGCTCTCACAGACAGCCTTTGTGTCCACCTCTATGGTTCAGAGGAACAGGCACAATTTTTGCTCTCAAAGAGTAAATGCTAGGAAAACAGCAGAGGGAGAAAGTTCTGCTGAGAAAGTCAAGAAAAGCTTCCTAGAGGAGCTAACACAGCCTGCAGCATGAGGCAGAGCATAGTATGTCTGAAGGGCAGGACAGAGAGAAGGCATGCACGCTGGGATCAAGCCAGAAAGAGAAAGAAATGTGAATTACATACCTTGCTTTTCAAGTTTTTCAACCCTGCCAGATGTCCACTCTGTAAGGTAGATGGCATCTACTGCTCGTAACCCACCCACTAGGTTGGGACAACCTTTTGGCAGTCTGTGTCTGACTCTTCTTGAAGCTCTGAGGTTTAGCATCTCCCGTTATCTTACTTTGATCAATTCAGGCAATATATGAAAAACTCAGAATGTTTAGCCCATTGTTTTCAGCATCAAAAATATTCTTCGAGCAAATCTGCCGTATAGCACTGAAAGTGAGATTTCCTCCAAGAACCCCTCTGGTAGCGCAGCTAAGAGCACAGGCCAGGTTCAGGCTAGCCTCGATTCAAACCCCAGCTCCGAACTTACGGGCTGGGACCGATGGTGAGTTCTCCACCTTCTCTGAGGCCATAGTTCTCCACAGGATGGATGGGAGGCTTGGGTGGGACCTCAACACAAAGTGCTCGCCACATGGTTTACCCTCAGCAAAGAGATTCCAAAAGATAAGAAGGAGCCAGGGAGGATCTCCAACCCACACCGCATACTCACAGTCGTGCCGGTCTACAGAGACATCAAGGGTTCTCAGACACAGTGCTCTTAGGGAAGCAGCACTCCAGGAGGACCTCAGCTTTGCAGGTCTCTCGCCCAGGCTTTCCTGAGGACTGGTGTCACTCGAGCCTGAGTGCTGACTCACACTAGCCCTTTGCACAAGGGACTGTTGAAGAAAGCAGAAGCCTGTTTGTTGATTTCCACTGCAGAGGGAATGCCTCTCCTCCTTCTTCCCAGCAGGGCTGGACAAGTGCTGACAAGTTCTTCCTCCTGGACATCCTTTTATAGGCTGCAAACAAACTGCCTGGTATTTCAGAACACCACAAAACAATGTACATGGTGAGCTGGATCTCAGGGGGAGGCATACACCCTGAATCCTGAATTAGGCGGGGTCCTAGCGGAACTTTAATTAGGTACACTGTCTCTCTAAGGCACCTCCCTGCACCTTGCACAGATAGGGTATTCCCCAAATAACCTATCCAACCCCTTTGTAGGCCAACCTGAGGGTGTGGCTGCCTGGAAGATGGCTTTCTTCACACATGCTGTTCTCATCGGATTTACTCCCAATGGACCACTTTATTGCCAAATTCCACCACAACCACAATACCACCTCCATGCTGGCCCAAGAAAACACTGATCGAGCACCTACTGCATCCCCAGCTCTAGGCTAAGTGTGAGATGTTCACACTTAATCCACATTGTTTTAATTACTCCCTCATTGCTGGGACAAAATACTCAACAGCCACAAGTTAAAAGAAGAGAGATTTATTTTGGCTCACAGTTGGTAGAGATTTCAGTCCACAGTCAGCTGGTTCTAAGGCAGGGCAATGTGGCACAGGAGAATGGCAGAGGAGAAGCAGCTCATGGAATGGCAGGCAGAAAGCAGAGAGCCTTCCGTCTTCTTTCCCTTTGTATTCCATCCAGGTGTAAGCCTATTGGTTGGTAGAGCCAGAGTGGATCTTGTCTCTTGACAACAACAGAACTATGTTAAACGAATCAATGGATTAATCCAGTATTAAACACCCATTATATAGCTGCTCCTAAAAGCCCCACCTAAGAGCACATCCGACTTTGAGGGATAACTAGATAGATATAAGCCTAACACCCATGAATGAGGTTTTGTAGGGAAGCATCCCTGACCATTGTATTCCCCCAGTGTGGGGGGGTTGGCCAGAGGTATGTATGAGGTGGATATCCAGAGATAAGGGATGTTTGGAGCCACATGCCCAAACTTCCAGAATGCATGGATAGAGAGTAAAAGATAGCCTACAGGACCACAAGTCCAAGTAGAATTAAAATATATTTCCTTAAGGAATTAATGATCTGGCTCTCTCCCCCCTGCCCTCTAATTATCACTTAGACCAGCCCTAAGGTCCATCATGGAAGAGACCACCCTGACCTTCCCTTGTCATTCCCGTCTCCTCATGAATTCCTGTAAGACATCCTTCTTTTGTCCTTTATCCTTGCTTCCTGATTCTATCAATAAAAAGCCACAGAAGCTTCAGTTTGGGCTGTCTTTATGAGATTCTCTCAGGCTGAGGGGTCTCAGTTAAGGGCAGTCCCTCTGGGCCTTCTTGGAGTATGAATTGGACACTGACTCTGAGTAATCTCTCATCCTTTGCGCTGTGCCACCATCATGAACTGTGACATCCCAAAGCCTGAGTCCTTTTCTGTACCCCATACATGGCAACAACTGATTGCAACACAGGTTCTCTTGGAGGCCACAGCTCTGGCACCATTTCTCTTAGAAGAAGTTCAGTGATGATTGATTTGCTTTGTTCTGGATTTGGCCTGAATACTGAGGATTAAGAAGATTAGGATGAACAAAGAGAAGGTTACAACCATCACAGATTCTTAAAGAGAGTAAGAATGGGGATGAAGAGAAAGATTGTGACGTTCCAGGCAAGATGCTGCTCAGAAGGTTAAAAAATTGTTCCCGAAATTTTCTGAGAACCAGTTTCCTCATCCTGAAAAAAAGAAAATCTCCTTCTATAGTTGCTGACAGAGGGAACTTCAGGACCCTAGAAATGTGCGCTCCTGGCCCCTTTCCTGCCTAAATGTGCTGTGATATATATTTTATTACAGAATTGTATGGTTAGAGATTGAAGGAACCTTGGAAAGTCAGCAGGACAGCCCCACTTTCTTAAAATGATGTAGGAAAAGTCCTGAGAAATTAGATACCTAGCCTTAGACCACATCTCCAGCCAGGGATTGAACCCATGGCTCTCCAGGCCAGTGCGCTTCTCAGTGAGCCAATGGTGTTTTTTTTTTAAATTTGTTTGGGTTTCTTGTTGTTGTTTTTGTGTTACCGGGGATCGAACTCAGGACCTTGCACTTGCAAAGCAGGCGCAGTGCCACTGAGCTAAATCCCTGGTCCTGAGTCCATGGTGTTTGTTGTTTCTGTTCACCATGGATCTTGCAGGGTCAATACTCAGACAAATACATCATCATCCATTAAGTACAGGGCAAACCAGCATATCCCCCACAGCTTTGATTTGCCTTCTGTCAATCCAAAGCTCCCTGGCTCTGGTGGGCTTCTATCAGAGGACAGTGACTTCAGGGATTGGTTTGTTTTCATTCTTCTCAGTGATGGTAGTAGCCTGAGAAGAGGCACTCACATGTGGAGCCACTGGTGTGTGCTGTCATGGAAAGGGGCGGAGCTTATGATTAAGTATACCTGTGGGATGGAATCTGTCACCAGCTTTGTGGCTTCAGTGATAGGATAATTTATTTCCTCTAGGATTCAATTTCTCATTCATAAAATGTAGGCAACAGGGATATTTCCAGGACTAAATGAAATTATGCATATGACACGTGTCTGGCCAATAGTAAGTCATAGTAATTGGTACTTGTCTTCATTACTTTTCTCTTGCTGCTGAGACAAATACTCGGCACCCAAAGTTAAAAGAGGAAAAGTTTATTTAGCTCAGTTTGTATGGGTTTCAGTCTATAATTGGCTGCCTCCAAGGCAGGGTGGCATGGCAGACAAGCATTGCAAAGGAAGAAACAGTTAATACTTGGAAAGTAAGCAAGGGACCTTAGCAGGTTTTTCCTGCCCTTTTTGTACTCTATCTAGACTACCAGGTTTAGTACAGTGCTAAATCAATCAGTGGATTGATTTAGTAATCACACATCCCGGCATCACACACCCTAGATTCAGCTACCTCTGAAAAAGCCCCAGTTATGACCACATGAGGCTTTAGGGGGACATCTAGACAAAACCATAACAGTAATTTTTTCTTTTGATCCAAAAATATTTAAACTTATGAGTGGAGTTGGATAGAGGGCTTGGAGACTAACTAGAAGTTTTTTAAATTTTTTCCTCATTAAAGAAATATTACTGGGCCAGGAATTTAGCTCAGTGGTTCCACTGCCTGTCTTGAAGTGCAAGGTCCTGAGTCTGATGCCCAGTACCAAAAAAAGAAAAGAAGAAGAAGAAGAAGAAGAAGAAGAAGAAGAAGAAGAAGAAGAAGAAGAAGAAGAAGAAGAAGAAGAAGAAAATATATATATATATATATGTATATTACTACCAAGGATGTAGCTCAGTGGCACCATGCCTGCCTGGCAAGGTCCTGGGTTCAATTCCTGGTACTGGAAAAAAAACTTACTAAAGTGATATATGTACCTTATAGAAAAATAAAAAGAGGGCTGGGGATTTAGCTCAGTGGTGCCATGACTGCCTGGCAAGCACAAGGTCCTGAGTTCAATCCCCAGTATGAAGGAAAGAAAGAAAGAAAGAAAGAAAGAAAGAAAAGAAAAGAAAGAAAGAGCAAATAAAATCATTCTATTATACATTATTAATAATTACTAATAGTGTCTTCTAGATTTTCTTCTATGCATATATCACATATAAAAGTGGTATTATATTTTACATACTATAGCATGGCTTGCTTTTAAAAATTTAACAATACATAATGAATAGCTAACATATAAATACACCCACTTCTACAGTTTAATTTTCAATTACTACATCGTAGCCCACTGATAGATGATTCAATTTTTCAAGCCAATTTCTTTGTAAGACAAACTGTTTCCAATTTCTGTTATTATAAATATCTTTATGGTTAAATCTTCATTGAATTATCATTGTTTAATTATTTTCTTAAATAAATAAATAAATGTCTCAAAATGAAATTACTGGGTGAAAGGCAATTTCTAATATTAAAATTATATAATTTGTCACATTGCTCCCCAGACAGAATCCACACTAGCAGTGTATAGACCTCCAGGAAATGATATTCATTTGAATGTCACAAGCATGGTAAGCAGAAACTTTTCTCTCTGACAGGGTAGGGAGAGGCTATAAAACTTGAATTTCTGGACTCAGATGAACCTGGATTTTGGAAGGTAAGAAGGAAGTTTCTATACCCAAGTACTATAGCATCTTAAGTTCTTCTCTAGTGAATAGGGTAATTTCTCTGTGACAGGCTCTATGCTAGATGCAGAGAATAAGAACTATAAAGCATATTTTGTGCTCTTAGTACAGTTAGGAATAAAGGAGCTGAGTGAGTCATTTGCTTCCCTCTATTTAACTCTAAACAGCACCCAATGGTTATTCCTGCTTCCATTATCCTAAGAGAGGTACAAAATAAAATAACAAAAGCCTAGGAGATTCCTGATGCTCCAGGCAAGAGCACAGGTGCTTTGGGAGAGTCACTGGGAGGAACCTAAAGCAGAAGAGTCTGGCTTTTAAATTCTAAAAGCTTGAGCTACTGGCCCCTTTTTCCTGTTGTTGTTGCTACCTTTGACCTTGTGCAGTGTTTTTCTGTTGCCCCAACACTTTTCTTGGTCTGTGTTATACCTTTTCTGGCATGGACTGGCCCTGACAACTTGCAGTGACCTTCAATGATCATAGTTTCTTACTACTTACTACTGGGTGTACACTTGCCAATACTTTCCCTGTTGTACACAAGAACCTGGACTATTATTGGCCCATTTAACCATAACATCCTGGGGAGCAAAAGATTAAAAAACTTTTTTTTTTAGTTTTACCACAAAAGTAAGTCTAGCCATTAACCCCTATCTCAGACCTAGCAGACAGTGGGAACAAAGGAATTAGCAAGGACTCCCTGAAGGACATGATATCCAAGAACAGCTTTGGAGAGTGGAAAGCAGTTAGTTCCATGAAGAAGCAGGGAAGAGCAGAAGGATCATATGGTCAAGCCTTCAAAGTGGGAGGAAACAGATTCAGTGGAGTCACACCCAGGAGTCTAGGAATCCAAAACCAAAAACCCAAACTCAGAACTGCTCTCAAAAAGTTTT